ATATTCTACGTCATGCGGTCCTACAATGTAATTGTAATAGGCATATCTGATCCCTTGTCTTTATTCTCTACTGATTAGTGGTATATCCATTCATTTAAGTGAAAAATTTAGGGGTATATCCACAATCCCTTGCTTAAGGGGAAAGGTTCATGCCATTTGAACCAGACGAGACGATGGCTCTTGGCAACAAAGGCTATATCTAAAAGTCAAGTATAAAACAATTTTTTTTACCGTTTGAACAAGGTTGGCCACATTTGGGCCTTGAGCTCCGTTAATTAAAGCTAGATCCACTCGCGTGCATTCTTCTTTCTCTAACTTTCCCCTCAGATCGGATATTGTACTTTTCACAAAGATGAGATGTTAAAATAACATGTTATGTTCTATAATTTGTTATTCAGTGCACATTAAAAAAAGTTAAACGGCATATTTTTTATTTTAAAATCTTAAACCCTGCTTTAGAAATTATTTTATCAACAACTTATTACTCTTTACAATTTTTAATTCTTATGCACTGCGTGGGATTTGGGAAGGCGGGACATTGTAGTGGAGAGTGACTGTCGCGGGCTGATTCAGGCTGTGGATGATTCGAATTTGAGTGAGCGCTTGGATGCTTGACTGTTGCATGGGGGATTCGAAGCAATATGCTTGACAGAAGTTGGAATGTTGAGCGCGTACGAGATGTTAACAAAGCTGTGGATTTAAAACTTGTATTTTTAAAAAAATATTTTTTTTGGGAAGTGTGAGTTAGAAAATTATATTTGCAAGTAGTCAGTATTTACTAAAATAAAAATTTATTATATGACAGGCATTCTTTTAAGGAGCACCCCGTGTTCAGCAAGAACGACTTTCATAGCTCAAATGGCCAGAATGCTTGCTTACTATTACTTGATCATGACGCCATCTGAAGAAGTGAACATGCAGTGCGCTTCTTATCGTCTCACTGCATTCTCTTTAGACTTTTCATGCACCTCTTTTGTCCTCTTCCTTTCGGTCTCACCACGTCAACACACCTTTCCTCTTCGTGGACCACTTTTGTCAAAGATCCCATCAGCTCGCTCCCGTGCGTTTGGACTGAGGCAGTCATGTCTCTTCCGACAAATCCACACCTTCATTTCATTTCCCTCTTTTATCCCACGCAGCTTAATTTCCAACTGAACCGTAAGTAGCTACGTTACAGATCAAAAACGACTTCCCTGATGAGGTTTTCCATCTCCAGGATTACTTCCACGTCAAATAGAAATATGACTCCACCCAGGTTAATTTGTTACTACATGGGTGTGTGTGTGTGTGTTCCATCTTTCTCGTTTGCCTGTTTTTTCCTCCTTTTCCATTCTAATTTTTGTTATATCTTGTTCATGAAGGGTCTCAGATTCAGATTCCATTCCTTCACTTCATACTATTTATGCTTTCTTGACGGGCCTCCTCCTTACTCTGGTCGGAATAAAGTATCAAGGGTCAAGCACCGACCTTTTCAAACAACACCCACTTCTGATGCTCCTGTTTCTTATTTCTATTTCTGTCTACGCCCTCGCACTCGTAACGTTCAGATCCGATCAATCGACCAACTTAATGGAGATTGTGTTTCATGTTTCTGGAACTGTTTCCTGCGAACTGCTTGGTTTGGTTCTGGTGTCTCCAGTTAAGTGGTTCGTCGTCAACGTGTCCTCGTTCGTGGTAGTTACACTGATGTCAGTCTTATGGTATGAGTATGCATTACCACGAATTCCATGTCTCCGTCTTGAAGGAGCCGAATCATCGTTGCCAGAGGCTCACGGTGCAGGACGGCAGGGCACGACTGAGATGGTATAGATATTAGAATTCTCATATTAAGTAGTATATATTTCATTAAAATAATTTAAACTATTTAGTTAAATACTTTTAAATTTATATGTTTATGATTTCTCTGCTAATATTTAGATGTGAGACTTTTTTTTATCTTTTAATATTCTCTCTATTATTTTTTTTTCTTTTTTTTCCCTCTTTCTTTCTTTTTTTCTTCTTCTTGCCTAGACATGTACTTTTTTTTTTTAAGTTTCAGAGGCTTCAAATATATTCAATTTCTTCTTCTTCTTCTCTCTCTCTTTTTTTTATCTCTTGTTTTTTTTTCATCTTTCATTTTTTTTTTGGTCCCTTATCAAATAACTCATGATACTATATTAGAATTCTTATATTAAGTGTGTTTAAGGATAGTATACTTCATCAAAATAACTTAAATTATTTGATTAGATATTTCTTAATCTTATATATTTATTATTTATCTTTTAATTTTTGAATGTGAGACTTTCTTTTATCTTTTAATAATAAAGCTGGGAGGTCCAATAATAGTTTTCCCCCTACATGTGTTGGCTAAAAACAAAAAATAGGAGGATTTAATTGAGAGAAATTTTATATTTGGCCAAAATTTAAAGAAAGAATTTATTTCTACTGTTAACTTTTTTTTAATAAAATCCTAATTCTCACGTCCTATAAAGTATAAACCATATGCGTTTGTTTTTATCTGGTTGAGTAATCAAAAGATCCAGACTCTTTTGGCAAAGGTCAACTCATATGATCGAAGCCATGCATTTTTATTTTGCTTTAACAGCTCCAATCTTTTTCTTTTCATAGTGTGAAGTTTAATTTAATTGTCTTGCTCCTATTTTTGTCATTTAGATGCCTATTTTAGTATAGAGCTTTTTATTTGAAGGGGTATCTTGATCTTTTATTGAAAACAAAAAATAAGTTTGTTTTTATCTGATGTCGAAAGGACTTTATAAGTCTGTTTTTACCTGATGTCCGAGAAGGGACTGTGCATGGACAAATCTGAGAGTTTGGCATGTGGGCGGTCAAAGATGGAAAATTACAAGAACTTGGGGTCTAAAAATTGCTTTTCACATTTCTACAAATAAGAAATAACAAAGACTAAAAAAGGAGAAAATATATCTGCAAGTTCTTCAAGTTTTCTTTAATTTTGAATAGATCCCTATAGTTTATTTTGTTTTAATTAAGGCTTTATAGTTTGATCAATTAAATTTTTTAATTACTAGAAGTTAAAATCCTTAAATTTCTTTAAAAAACAAAGTTAATTTTTTTATTTTTATCTAATGATATATAACTTTAGAATTAATTACATAATTTTTATAACTCAAATTTATGTAATTAGATAAAAACATAATATTTATAAAAAATTAATAAAAATGTAAACAATATATTATTCATTTTTATTTTCGCTAAAAATATTAAATTATTTTTTTATAAAATTCAATTAAGAGTATTTTTGTTTTAAAAATTAAAAAATTTATTATTAATTTTAATATCAAAGGTTAATATATAAAATAAAAAAAATCATGAGGATATACAGATTAAAACAAATTATTTAAATTCGGGGGGCCAACCTTATTCCCTATGTCAAGCCGCTTCGCATCGGTAGGCAAATTCACCATGCCACTATAGTACTATACGCGCGCGCATATGTAATTCCTACTATGCTATGAATTAAAAATATATTTAATTTTTAAAAAATAAAAAATAAAAAATAAAAAAAATATATTTTATAAAATTAAAAAATTTAAGTTAAAATTTTATATAAAATTAGAGGTGTATTTTTATCAAAATCTGTTCTCCAATAATTTATAAAAAGAATGTAAAGGTAAAAATATATTAAAAACGCATATAAATTGTAAGATTTAAATTTGAATAAACATGATTATGGATAAAAATAATTGTTAAGGTAATTCTGAATACACATGCTTTAATTTTATTCATAAGCATGTGTATTCAAATTTAAATCTTACAAATTTATATTTTATAAATCATACGACTTATTTCTCAAATCTCTAACAATTACAGGAGAAAAAATTTTCCAATGAAATATTTTACAAAAACTACCATTCTGATTTGATATCTATTGATAATTTATTTTATTGTAGTTGTAACTATAAATTTAATATATATATATATATATATTACAATTGTAAATATGTTGACAAAATCATAAAAAATTACAACTATATATTGATATTTATTTGTAAGGTATAAAATTTTAATTCTAAATAAATTAATAGAATAGAATATCAACGTGTTCAACGCTGGCGGCCCATGAGAAATCTAACACCCTTCCTTTTATCAAAAGAAATATCTTTCCATCGTGCAGTTTTCATCATCACACAATTTGTTTACGTCACTTCCCTCTTAACCTTTGATCAATTTGATCATTTCAATGAACGCTCAAGCAATTAAACAATGTGCTGTGCCATACTTTTGGAATTCTTGCCGGCGAGCTGCTTTCGCTGGTCCTCGTCTCTCCAATAAAGTGGTTCCTCGTCCACGCGTCTTCGCTTCTGCTGGTCATGGCCATATTCTTGTCTTACAATTTTCTCTTGCATCTCCTCAATAATGCTTCAGACACACGTGGGTCGGATTGATCACAGTGGGGAGGGAAAAGCTATGGAGATTGGAGATGGTGGATGTGGAAGCTGAAGTGACCTCCTCTTCTTGATTTTACATCCAAAAGAGAATAATAAAGTCATGCAGTGGCACTACTTCTTTGTAGTTAACACTTGTTTGTAATCCTAGGCCGTTTTTGTCTTCCACTCATCTGTGGGGAATACACTTCATTAAAAAAAAAGAAAAAAGAAAAAATTGTATAGCCCAAATATTTGCCTCGTGTGTATCTATCCCAGTCCTTTTTTTTTTTATGCATTCTACCACACATTATTGAGTAAAATATTTTGTTTCCGTTCTTACAATACCAAACATCTTTTAATACATATTTCCTTTTCATTTTTACTTTTTTTTTATTACTCACTGATATTTTTTAAATCTCTCTCTTAAAGATTCAAACCCTATTTGCCAAGTTATAAAAACACAATCCCTTTAATTAGGCTCAACTATAATTTGTATTTCATTCCCATACTATTAAGTATTAATGTTCCCATTCTAGATACAATATTTACATTGGATGAATTTGTAGATAGAAAAAGGGCCCTTTGGTATCATGAATAAAATCTACATGTAAAAACTAGCACAACACATTATACACTTACCATATAAATGCTGAAAGGTTGAGATTGAAGCTGGGCATAAAAAGAAACAAAACAATCACCTTCCGATTAAATACATTTGCAAATCTGTTTTCTCCTTAAATTTATTTATTTTTATTAGAATTTGGATTATTAGCTTCTAAGTTTAACGTAAAAGTTCTCTCTTCTTTCTTGTAAAAGGATTAGGCAACTAACAAGTTGCTTGCGCAACTTATCATGATCCACCATCTCTTTATCGACTTGCTGATTCATTTGTAACTAAAATCCTTCAGCCAAGCAAACCAACTCAGCACCATTATCATCTTCTACACTTTCTTTCTTCTTTCCTTTCTCTTTTTGCTTGGTCACTTCAATATATTCTCCATATCAGGGAAACCCTTGTACTCCAGATGCACCTGAAGCAGAGGACCAGAGGACCCCAGATAGATGATATACAAGGCATTGAATTTACAAACGACAATAGGTCAGCTTCTTCCACACGACAAGATTCTTGTACTCCTTTGTACACAAGACACTGTACTGTAAGCGTAGCAGTTCCATATACATCAAACGACTGTTCAAAGAGAGTTTAGACACAATTCGTCAGCAATTTACAAGAGGCCATTACTGGTCACGCCTAAAAACAAAAATCCATTATGATATATCTTAAGGATTTAATATTCAGCCGTTGGAAAAACCATTGTCGAGCACTACTCTGTTCCCTATTATTTTTTCCCAATGCTAGGGAATAAGAGAGATTATTTGTATTGACAGTGCCTGCCATATTATTCATGGATTAGGCTCACAAATAAGTTTGTCATCGATTTTGTAAGTAAAATCTCTAGAAATAACACGGCAGCACTCCCTGACTAAGAAAAATCCAGAAAATAATGCAAGTTTAAGATAAATCGAATAAGATATTATACTCACCAGGTTCATCAAAAATTACTTTATCCCCAGTAGAGAAGAGGTTGTAGAAAAGAGCAGAAAGAAAATAAAGGAGTGATGTAAGCAAAGAAATCCTTGGAAAGACCCAATAATATCAACAAAAAAACCAGTTCCAACTGTGCCAATTATAGCAGCCAATGTTCCAGCAGTGAGTGCCATTCCTAGAAAAAAGATCAGAAAACCCTCGTTTACAACATATTATTCTGGATTGCCAGGACAATTTTTATTTGAACTCCTCCAAGATCACAAAGTTCAGGCTATAAACCATTTTAAAGGTATATACTGATTAAAAAAAATCATGAAATGTCATCTTATAGGATAATGACAAAATCTTACCGTGTAGAACGCCAGAATATTGTGGTGCAATCTCCTATAATGTGAAGGAAGAGAATATTAGGTTGGAGTGAGAAGACTATGGTACCTAAAAACAATGTATTTTCATAATATAGAAAATAAAAACCTGAATGTTCACTAGGAAACCAAAGTGGCTGAAAGATTTCAAGCCAAATGCTAAAGTAAGCCAGGCAGAAGCAATTGATGGAATTTTGGCCGTTACCAAACTGATGAGACATATTCCAGGACCAACAAAGCCAATGGACTGCAGTGACAAAACACAAGAAGCATGGTCCATATAAACTGATATACATTGGGAAGATTGAAAATTAACAAATGTAAAGAGGAAAAAGAAAAGGGAACCAGAAAAGTTTTCCCAGCTCAGCATGCCCATGGTATAAGCTAACTCAGGAATAAATTATCACACTTGTAAATTTCAAGATCCTCTACATCTCATTTGATAAATTCACTTCATACTAAATAAAATTTAATAAACCTCTATGCTATATTCTACTTACTTGCATGATCTTGCGAGTCAAAGTGACACTTAGACCACTTTGTATCATCATATCTGCCCAAAAGCCAGCCACGTAATTCATGATAGCCATCAGAACCCATGGAACAGCACTAAACCATGCTGCATGTCTGAGATCCACACGATATACCTGTGATCAACAATCATGCATTAACAGTCCATAAAATATTCATTCCAGCATAATTTTATGCATGCTTAACAGAAAAAATCAACAATCCTACATATAATGAGACTTACTGAGCTGAAGTATATGGGCATCCAGGAAAGAAAAACAAAAAATCCCTGTGAAATAGGAAAAATAATATCAAATTTTGAAAAGGACAAAGTAATTTTGATAAAAGAATAATTACAATAAGGCATGATATCATCTTGCAGACAGTTCTTTCAAGTTTCAACATTGATGCCCTGCACTAATATACAAGTCTTTATTGGCCAACTGGCCTCGTCATCATAGTATACATTTTTTTATAAAAGATTCTGTTAGATTATTCTTCACTGGTAATTAAGTGGGTAGCTGGGAATGGAAACAGAAGTAAAGATTACTTTAAGGCCACATTTTTGGTAGGAAGAGTTCCTAGTAAAGAAAGTGGGAAATGGATAGGGCAAGGGAAAGAGGTCTGCTGGAAAGGACACGAATCATGTTTGGTAGGAGAGGAAAAGGAAGGAAATCAATATGTTTTATAAGTTGGTATAAATGAATTAGAAAGGGAAAGGGGCTTTCCAGTAGTTTATGAGTGGGAAAGCACTCTTCCTTAAACAAGGGAATATGATGTTCCCAAGGAAAAAGGCTTGCTTAACGCCAAACACAAGGGGAAAAAAACACTCTCCATCACCCTTTCCCTTTCCCTATCTCTCTTTATCTTGTATCAAACATAGCCTAAGAGGTAAGATCAGTTAATCCTGCTGGGATATGGCACTAGGAAATTACATGTCAATTCAAATGATTGTAAGCTCTAATTAAGAACATTATAAGCAAGACGCTGTTATTAAGCAAATACTATGGATGTGAAGCATTACCCAGCTGTGCATGCCATTTGCAACAAGCAAGGCCCATGTTGGTAGCTTTGAAAGCAAGCGCCTGAAAGGTGGGCTCACTTTAACTTTACTTCCACTAGGTTTTATTGTCTCCACAGCAAAGGATTTTTTCCTTTTATTCAATATATACTCCAACTCATATTTTGATATCTGAGGACTTCGATCTGGAGTGCTTGATGTTGCTGATAACCACACCAGAACCCAAAGAAACCCTGACAATCCAAAAATTACAAATGGTCCAAATATACCACCTTTTGACATAAGGATTGGGGAAAGCGTAAGCCCTATTGCAGACCCAATCTGAAACCCAGCCATTGCAATTCCAACAGCTCTTGACCTTTCTGTTTGAGGAAACCACCTAAAGGGAGAATGAAACCAGTCATTATTCCCCAATTCAGCATTGTTGCTTCAGCAACTTCTTATAAATTCAGTAACAATAATAACCAAAGAGTCATGTCATTGTCATATCCATTGAAACAGTCATCCCAGTGATCATCCCAAAACGAACTTTGTAAACAATCAATAGCCAATACCTCGCCACCATGTTATTCATGGAAGGAAGAGCCACTCCTTCCGCCATGCCAAGCAAAGCACGAACGGCAAGCAGTGCCCACAAGGAAGTCTCTGCAGCCCACGGAGTAAGAAAAGTAGCCAGCGACCACAGAGCCACACCCCAGGCCATGACCACTTTGCCACCAAAGTTATCCACTAATACTCCTCCGGCTATAGGTGAAACCAGATAGCCCCACAGGAAAGCTGACTGTCCATAAGTATCAGTAAAACAATAAATACGCAGTAGCGGAAACTCTCACAGGCAATTCTTCAAGTATTTGAAACGCACCTGAACAATTCCAGAGAACGAGCGGCTCCACCCGTTAGCAAGCGACAAAGGCACGATGGCCACCGACATAACTACACGATCAGCATTGCAAAGCGCCAGAGCTAAAGCAAGCATCGCCACCACTTGACTCTCTCCGAAGTGATGAACTCAGCGAAATTCGGCTGCTGCCGATGCGGAACCTGCTTGTCCCCAGGAATCGAGTTGAATTGGGCATCTTCGGACGACACCTTAGGTCGGGGAAGAGAAAGAACGCGGCGGAAAGCAGTGGAGGCATTCCAAGATTGAATATTGTGTGTGAAAAACGAGTTGGGGTTTTTGTGTACGAAGAAACTCAAAGAGACGAGATGAAGGTTTGGTGATTGAAGGGAGGTGGGTCTGGTATGGATTCGTGAGCGTCGGATGGGTTTCGGGTCGATTGCTCCCTTGGGTAAGGAAGCAGAGGGAGGGAGGACGGAGGACATCGGGCGGCGCGCGGAAACAGTGATGTAGCAAAGCAGTGGATTTTTTCAACATCGGGAGGGTCCAGTTGGCGAGCTCTAGTTACCCACAAACTTCCGAACAACACCTCGTACTGTTTTTTTTCAAAAAAGTAAAATCAATTAATATTTTAATATTAATATTATCTAAAAATATAAAATTTATTCCATGTCACGGCCTACTGTCAACCAATTGCTTTTTCTAACCAACTCATGTAATTTAAAAAATTGATTAAATATAATAATTAAATTAAAAATTAAAAATTAGATTAAAATATTCTTATAATTAATCTTTAACATATAAAAGAATTGAGTTCGTCTCAAAAATAAACTTTAATTTTATGATAAGGAATTTAGAAAATTATGATAAATATTTCTTGGATTTTATAACTTTGTTTATAAAAAATAATAAATATATGATAATTTCTTTTATGACAAGGGCATACCGAATCAATGCATCCATACAAAGTTGAGATTATCATCATGAAGCCATGAATCCATATATAAGTAGTTGGGAAAAAAAGGACCCATAAATAAGTACGAAAATGTTATCAAAATATATTGTTTGTGAATAATATAGATCATTATTGGCCAAAGGATAAAAAGTAAATAATACGGAGACTTTAAAGTAGAAAGAAGAAGAAGAAAAAGATGAAAAGTGAGAACGCACAAGAACACTACTCATGAGTCTCATTCATGTGAAATTGCATTAATTTTTTTTGTCCGGTAAAAATAATAATGATACTAATAATTCATTTTTTGCACGTTATGTTCATAAAAAGTTTTACACTGTTTGTATTATAAATCACAAAAATAGATTATGATTCATAAATTATACGAACATGAGTTATATTTTCTTAAGATTAGAATTTGCAAAATAAGGCTCTTGAGATGAAAGCTGGATGAGGATTAATTGAGAAAAAGGATTCACCATGGGCTCAAGTAATAAAAAGTAAATATAAATGTGGCAGCGATTTGTTGCCAGCTTGCCATCTATTGGGAAATCTCGTGCAGGGTCAGGTCCCCTTTATGGCATGGTATTCGAAGTAACTGGGAGAATGTGGAGAAGGGATAAGAGAAGATTTGTAATAGGGATGGTAATGGGTTGTCCGATGGAAAGCCGAGAAGAACGGAAAATTTACAATTAAATGGGCTTATGATTTGCTTGATGGAAATGATCATGGTCATGACCCTATCTGGAATAGAATTTGGAAACCGAAGATACCTCAAAGATGTCCGTAAGACTTTTTCTTGGGCTGCTCTCCATGATAGACTTGTTACCAATAAGTCTAGATATGAGAGAAATTTGGGTACAACCTCTGGCTCTGATACGTGTGGGGCTGAGGTCGAAGACAGAGTCTGAAACGCGTAGCGTAATGTTTGGATGGGAGTGCTTCAGCCTAATATAATGCACTCGTGAAATGGTGGTCTCGTAATTTGAGGAGGAGTGCTGCTGAAGCACCACTGATCAGTGGGGTGAGTTGATTGCTACAATCTGTTGGCTATTGTGGCGACGTAGGGATGCTAGGATTTTTTTAGCGAAAAATGTGGGGTGTTGAGACTGTGATTGCTCAAGCAAGTGGTATTCTATTGTGTGCGAATCAGGGTAGGGGCAAATTGAATATGGTGAATATTCATGGAGTAGCAAATTCTGATAGGGAAGATTTTCTCTAGTAGGCAGATTATGGAGTAGAAATTCTGGTTGATGGTGCCTATTCAAGCAGAAGTAATGCCTTGGGAAGTGGGGGAATTCTCATCAAGCGATTGAGAGAGAATGTGGAGGCCTTCATACTCCTTGGGAAGCGCAGAATTGTAGGCTGGTTACACGGGATTGAAAATTGCTCGTGGGAAAGAGGTTACGAACGAATAATATTGATCAAGAATGATTGTGCCGATGCTATTGCTCTGATAGAAAACCGGATTAACCCCCTTCATGAAGACTACAACATCAGTGAGGATGTTAAGAATCTGATTCAATGAGAATGGCAGGTTGATTTAATCAAAGTTGATGGAGAGATGCTGAACGATGCAGATTACCTGGCTAAGCATGCCTTCAGTCTTCCTCCGGGATTTTATCCGCTGCTTGCTGACATGCTTGTCACTTTTCTCCACTCGAGCCATGCGACTTGGTTTACCTTTTGTTTTGTTGCTTTAGCTTTCTGTTTTTTTTTTTTTTTAAATTTCTCTTTTATCCCAAAATAAAAATAAAAAAATACTGGTTTTGTTATTTTTTTGGCAAAAAGAAAAAAAAAAACCTATAAGGTCTAGGCTTTAACCATAATAATAGGAGGATATTCCTATTGTCCTCTTATTATTATAAGGAGATGTTTATGAATAATAAAAAATAAAAAAATAAATTTTTTTAGTTCCAAATAATAATAAAGTCAAACTATTGTTAAAAATAATTTATAACTCATTAAATAATACTCCCCCTGATTCCATTCATAAAATGCATTCTAAAAGATATATTTAATTTCATTTACAAATTACAATGTGACTTTCTAAAATTATCTTGTATAAAAAAAAAAAGTAACATAACATTACTTTTTAAATTTATTATATAGGGACATAATTGAAATTCTATACACTTTTATTCATTGTACTTTTTCTATTTAAAAATATAAGATATTTTTAATCGAATTTTACCTTCAATGAAGTAGTTATCAACTTTTCAACTAGCTCTATTATTTTATATTTACCTCTATTAAATACCCTACAATAAATATAAAATTATTATAAATAAGGACACTTTTAAAAAAGACAATGATTACACCTCAAAAAAATTAAAAATACTTTATATTTTTTTAACAAAGAGAGTATTTTTTTTTGTATTAATGTTGATAAAATTAATAAAAATGATTTATAAAAAAATTGAAAGAGTAAATTTCATTACAAAAACTAATTGTTTATTTTCTTAAAAAATATTGGAATGACCTTGTGCTTCCCTAAGCGCGATGGTACATGATACCGAGGTCTTGTACTCTTGTGTATAAAATGCAAAATAAAGCGCAAGTGCAATAGGAGGGACTTTCTATATATATTAAAAAAATAATACCATATAATTTAAGAAAGTTAATTAATTATAATAATTATATTTAAAAATAAAAAAATAAACTAAAATACTTTGTGTTAATTAATATAATCATAAATTAATTATTTTTTATTAATATAAATTATAAAGAGTAATTTAAAAAAATAATAAATGTTTATTAAAATGAGTGATTTTGCTTATAAAAAAATACAACTCAATAGTGATAGTTTATTTAATAATAAAAAACAAAGGGAGTATTGCAACAGTTTGAATTTATGCATAATTTTTAGTTTTTATTATTTTATTGGATTTACTTTTAGTCTTGGTAGTTTTTTTAATTCTTATAAAGACTAAAAATATTAAAAAATAAAAATTATAAGGACCTAAAAAATAAAGGTTACCCAACTTTTTTAAAATTATAGAAATTAAAAATATTAAAAAAATTATTGAAACTAAAAATAAAATTTGATGAAACTTTGAGGATCAATAATCATGTTTTTTTTAAAAAAAAGAGTAAGTATTTACTTGTTTATTTATTCTTAAATTTATGATTTATGGTTTATGATGAATATATATTAAAAAATATAAATAATTTTAAATTTAAGTTTGAAAAATTGAAAAAATAAATAAAACACGCTTGAATAAGTATTTTACTGTACATAGTTTACTGATGAATCAAAATTAATTGATGAGTGCTGATGAGTGCAACAATGCTGTGCCCGTTTGTATTTTAGTTAGATATAATATATTATAAAAATAATTAATTAAATAATAAATTTTAATTATAATTAATTATGTTATAACGTAATCTATTTAGATATTATTTTTTTAAAATTAATTTTAGTAGAATTAAAAATATTTAAATAATTTAATCAGAATTAATTTTATCTATATAAATTATTGTATAATTTAATTCTTAAATATTAAATATTAATTTTTTAAAAATACAAGGTTTAAATTTTATTAAGAAAAATAAGAGAAAAGAAGAAAGTTTAATTTTATTTTTATTAAGTTATATATTTTTTTGTAATTTTTTTTGGACCTGTCTTTATATTTTTTTTCAACATTTTTCGACAAGCTTTTGCCACAAGCTCTAATTCACAGCTTTTGAAAATAATTAATTTTTGACTCAAAAATTGATTAAGAAGAAAAATGGGTGTTTGGATAATTTTGTAGAGAATCAATTTTTTGGGTTAAAAATCATTATTTTTGCTATCCAAACACACACTCTAAAAGCATAAAATATTTTTTTAAAAAAAATAAAGTCTTGTTTATTATGATTATTTTAATATTAACTTGCATTATTTTAAAAATTTAAAAATTTATATTTAATAAAAATCAAGTTAAAAATTATTAAAATTTTAAATAAAGTTAATAAAATTTAAATTTTTTTAATTTTAATAAAATATGATGAAAGTATTTTATAAATGAAACTAAGAGTATAAATTAATAAGAAAAGAGAGTAATAATCTAGTATATTGATTGATTCGTATGCTTGACAGAAAATAAATTTCCAAAACTGACGTTGTATTTTTCTAAGTTAAAAATAGGGGCTTCAAGGTTACGTCATCGTCAGTCAATTAAGAACTAAATTAGTATTAATGTTGTTAAAAGTGTTGAATTAATAGAAATGACTGGCAGTGAAAAATGCTATGGCAGGCAGGGTGGGAGCCTGGGAGGTTTAACAAAGGTTCCCTTCATCCGCAATTTCATCGCCACTTTCTCGCTTCACTCCTTCCCACACAGAGTCCCACTGTACTCTCTCTCTCTCTCTCTACTCATCTTGTCTTCCACTTGCCTTCTTCCTCTATCATGCTCTCACCCTTTATTCTTCTACAAATCTTCCCCTTTCAGCCATGACTACTTCCAAACCTCACCGTCTCTCCAGCTGCCACCGCCATCCCGCCAGGCCCGTCACCGGCTTCTGCGCCTCCTGTCTCCGGGAACGACTTGCCGGCATTGAGTCCTCTGGCCAAGAGGTTCATCTTGCAGCTGAGCTCCGTCGCACCAAATCTTGCTCCGGCGGCGGCCTCGCGGCCTTTGCCTCTGCCATTTCGGAGCCTCGTCGGAGGTCCTGTGAGGTTCGGGCCCGGAGCACGCTGTGGGATCTCTTTAATCTCGATGACGAGAAGAAGTGTCTGAATCGGAAGTTTGAGGTGGAATTGGGAAGTTTGAGTTATGAAATACGAGAGGAGGAGCAGATTGGGGATGTGAATGAAGCAGTTAGGGTTTGTGGGGATAGTTTTATTTGTGCTGCCGATAGAGGAGATGAAGTTGATGACGAGGAGGAGACGAAGACGATGAAAGAATTTATAGATCTTGAATTACAGAGAGGGAAGAATGCAGGGAGAGATTTTAGAGATATTGCTGGCAGTTTCTGGGAGGCAGCTTCGGCGTTTAGCAAGAAACTGAGGAAATGGAGGCGGAAGCAGAAGATGAAGAAACACAATGGCACTGATCATAATGCAGGCGTTGGTTTGACAGCACTGAAGGTTGAGAAGCCGAGAAACAGAAGATTGAGGGAGACTCAATCTGAGGTTGGCGAATATGGGTTGGGGAGGAGATCTTGTGATACTGATCCAAGGTTGTCACTTGATGTAGGTAGAGTGTCTGTGGATGATTCGCGGATTTCTCTTGATATGCCTCGAGCTTCTTGGGACGGATGTTTAATTGGGAAGGCATGTCCTAGGCTTTCACCAATGATATCGGTTGTGGAGGATACTAATGTTTCTGTTAATGTGATTGAAAACAGAGTTTCAAATGAAGAGAAAGTGAATCTGGAAAGTGCTGGAGAGCCAAATCCTGGTGGATCAGCTCAGACCAAAGATTATTATTCAGATTCTTTGTCGTGGCAGCAACGCAGAAGGAGTTTTGACAGATCAAGCTCTCTTAGGAAACCAGCTATACCAGAAGTTGATGAATTAAAACTGATATCCAATGCCAAAGTATCTCCTGCTACCACAGAGTTATTCTACGGGGCGAAGTTGCTGATCACAGAGAAAGAACTGATGGAGAGGGGTTTGAAATCTCCGAATAATGTTCAAACCGATTCTGTACTGGGATCTACTTCTGAGGATGCTTCTGATGCCACTACCGGTGTTAACCAAAGGGCCTCCAGGAAGCTCCCAAACTGGCGCAAGATGTGGAATAAGTTGGGCCTAGTACAGAAGAAGAAGGAACAAAGGTTAGAAGAAGAGTATGGTGCTGGAGAGGTGGTTAATAAGCCGATCACAGATTCTTGGCAAAAGCTGAGGAGGGTAGTTAATGGACAAGCAAGTGAATCAGTTAGTCAAAAGCTTATTCGAAGTTATAGTGTTAGCTGTAGAAACCCCTGTAGAATGGCTGGTTTGGTCAATAGCTTGGGGGCTCCTGAGACCAAAAGCAACGTTTTGAATGGAAGACAAGACTTTATGCTTCAAAGGAACCGGAGTGCTAGGTATTCGCCAAATAATGCTGATACTGGCTTGTTGAGGTTCTACTTGACACCATTGAAGAGCTACAGGCGAAGCAAGTCTGTAAAGAGTAGCATAAAGGATTTGCACCCAACAACCAGAAGTGTCTTGTGAAGCTTTGTTAACTTTTGCAAGTATATCTGGTTGTAAAAGCATATATAATGTAATTGTCGTTGTTCAGGAGATAAAGTACAATTACATAACATTGTTAGATTCTAATGAGAAAATTTCATATGATGTTGGTGGCAGAAATAAAGTATTATTTAAATAGAGTTGTTGACATAGGAAATATCATAATTGCAGCACTTAATGTAATCACCTGACGTATATTGCTAGCAGACATTTTTCCGTGGTTTTATCTTTTGCAGTGATGTTCTGTCTCAAGTTATTGTCACTAGATCTAGTAAGAAAGACTCAACTCAGTTCTTTATATTGTTAGCAGACGTTTTCCCATGGTTTTATCTTTTGTAGTGATGTGATGTCTCAAGTTTATTGTCACTAGATCTAGTGAGAAAGACAACTTATTTCTTTCATGAATGTGAGGGGTCATATTTTAGAGAGAAAGCTATTGTTTCCAGTTTCTGGGCCGGCCCCCCCCCCCCGGGCCAATGCTCCACTGCTTGTTATATCAGGTTGAAATTGAGAAACTCACGTTTTTCTTTAAATCTGTACCTTCTCTGGTTATCTTGAATATAAGATTCTTTAATAGGTAAAAACTATGCTGTAACTCCTGTTTATTCTTGAACTAAAATGGTGTGGACACTGGACAGTTCCTGTTTCCTAATGTTGAAGATATATGGTTATTGAGAAGTTCAGGATATCTATTCAACTAGACACAGTTTTCCCATGCGTTTCACAGAATCTAAGGTGAGGCACAATGTTGATGGCTTATGAATAATATGATTTGCTATAGATTTTATATTAATTAATAGCAAAATATAATTTTAAATTCATGTACTTTACTTGAATTTTGTTATAGGTCCCTGCACCTTTTTTTTAGATATTCTAAGTTCTTACACTTTTAGTTTTCAGCATTCACTAAAAAAAAGTACAGGAACCTATAATAAAACTTAAGCAAAGTATATGAATTTAAAGTTATATTTTCTCTTAGTTAATTGATAATTGATTAACTAGCGCTGAATTGTAAAGTAGTCAATTTCTATGTCTCATTAATAAAAAAAGCAGTTCATTGGATACCCTTTCTCCCAACTTACTGAATTTATATACGTAGTTTGCATGTGTAGCTTGAATCTTATGAGGATTTAATGCTGCTAATACCTTCCTTTAATAAATATCATTGTCCCTGCCGCATCATGTAAATCAAACAGGCGTACAAAGCATCATATTCTGTCTCTAGGCTGCATTGATATTTGGGCGTCATGTCCTTCCTTTTCTGCCACGATTGAATCTGCGTAGTGTTGACTGGAAAAGGGGGCTAGCAGGCAGGGAAATGGTTTGCAAATTTTTAGCATGTCATCATCCGTACCATTAATGGACGCTTTCTTGTTGAAGTGAAGCCTCCAAAACTATTCATTTTGCATGTTACACTTTTTGGTATTGCATATTTGGGATGACACTAAATTTCTGCTTGTACAGAAGCAGGATTTGCATAGGAGGAAAAGAAAGACCTACGGCTTTTACCTGCTTCTGTTTCTAGCCCATCTTTTTGTGTGGCTGTTGCTTTTTCAAATCTAAAATCCAAGGTGGTACTGCTGGCTGCCGGTACCTTGATTATTTCTCTTCTCTTGGTCTTGCAGTCTATGTCAACTGCATTATTGATATATAGGGTTAGTAAGTTCTGTAGTTTCCTCTTAGCTGATTGGCTTGAAACCATTGATGCCAATTGAACAATTTAGTTTTTCTCCATTGAATTGCTTAGTTTTGTTCAGTTCAAACATCCCTGTCTTTTTCAATTCATAAGCTGCTCGGGTTTTAGTGTAAATATGGCAACTAAGACAGGCAAGTGTAGCTCAATTTAATTTCTGGCATGGTTAGCTTGATCTTTCTGTTCTGCACTTCTGGTAAAGTCACCTGTGAATGTATGGGATAATGTTTCTGTGAATGTGGCCACTGAATGTGTCTGTCATGTGGTTGCACCATGTTGGGGTCAAATTAATGATTCAATTATTGGCCATAAAGTTGATCACATATGATACAGTGTCCATGGGGCCTTTGAAATTGGCCGGTGCAGTGATCATATGACCTGCAGTGGCTTGATGTTATCTTGTGACTTGTGAACTAACGTGTTAGGGAAGTAGCATTATGCTTCTTTCTATGTGGTTCTCTGACTATTTGCTTGTGTCTCTTCCGTCTTCCTATGTTGTTCACTCTTCACTGACTGTCTGCACGTGTCTCTTGTTGACTTTTTCTCCTTGTTCTGTTCTAATAATGGAGATTTTTAGTTGCTGCAAGTTGTACAGAAGAAGCTTTTTGATTTACATCTCATCAAAAGTTTTGGATCTTCTGCGAGGTAAAAGCTTGTCAAATGTTTCTAAGAGTATTAAAAAATTGGAAAAGAAAAGAGGAAATAAGTAGAACAAGAATAGTAAATAAGCTACCAACCAGTTGACCCTAGTAAAAGGAGTTTGGATTGTATTCGTGTGAATATAGAAAACACTTCTAAAAATGTTATTTTTAATTTAAGTCTGAGGATGCTTAAATTTGACTTATCTAAATAGCCAAATAAAAACAAAAAAATTGAGTATTGAAGAAATGGAGAGCTTCGCGTCCTCATTCAAATTCTCATTCCTGGCGTCATTGTATTTAAGTTCACAAAATCTAATAAATTATTCATCAAGTGGACGCTCTTCTCGTGTTCTTGTTGAAGTGTTTGTAAATTTCAACGTAGTGACCGTTGGTTAGCTTGGCATTGGGGGGAAAAAAAACTTTCTGACCTGAAAAAAAATTTTTTTAAAAAAGAAACTATCTGACTTATGAAAAGGCTTTTTATTAAAGCATAGGGCCTTCCAAATCAACTGATCAATACCTACTGCATTGTCTTAGATATTTAAGTTAAAAAAATCATACTCATAAATAGCACAATCTACATTAAATTTCATCTAATATGCGTGATGTACGTCTAATTTTCTTAAGTTAATTTTGTATTGCTGCTCGTCATCCAAGTAATTGAAGTGCAGCTCTGATTAGGTTTCATCTGGCAATGTACTGTTAAAAGATGCGAAAAGATTCCTTCTTCGCATGTCAAATTTTCTGTCATTCCATCACTGATTTGAAACCTTTTTCTCCTTGCCGGGCAAGGCCCAAACACCAAATAACCATACGATGTAACAACAAAACTTGATGATTATTCATCAAAACTCCATAGAATCCACAATAATCTTTTCTCTAGTAAATTAGATGGTGTACTGTTCACCATTCCTTCTACGTTTTGTCATTTTGTTTTGCTTTTATTTTCTTTTTTACTCTTCTATGGGTCCTACTTTTCTTTTAAAATTGGTCCGCTTATTAAAATTTGTTGTATTTATCAAATTCCTAAACTCATGGTTGCGTGGTGAGAGCACCAAAATTGGCACTCATCAACTCATTTACCCAAAAACTGAGCAATCTTTAACCCGTACTGTAGTGACGTGGATTTGACAAAATACTTGCGGGGTGAAGCAACGAACATGTACCCGCAACCTCCCATGGCTTGAATTCTGAAACATTAAAATGGACTAAAAATTGCATTATATATACATATATGCACATTAGACTTATCACTCAAAAAATTTATTTACAAATAAAAATCAACACAAAATGAATTGTTAAAATGACTGGCCACACAATCTGTCCACATATTTATGAAGGCCTCATAGAAATTAGAATAGAAGCTGATTAAATTCTCTGCACTCTTCACTCAAAAAAAAGTTATTTACAAATAAAAATCAACGCAAAATGAATTGTTAAAATGAAAATATAATTTATTTTTCTATAAATAAAATTTATTGTTAATTTTTAGTTGTGAATAATTTACTTATGTAATTTTTAAATGTGATTCTTCCATACATAAATCCTTGTTGCACTTTAAAAGTGTTAAAAGTTAATGAAATCTTTCACAAAACAAGTGTTCCGAACTTAAACGAAAGATCATGTAAAAACATGATTGGCCACACAATCCGTGCACATATTTATGACGGCCTTGTAGAAATTAGAATAGAAGCTGATTACATTCCCTGCACTCTTCAAACTGAGAAACGACTTTTGTCATGTTCATCCGCCCCATGCGAGTCATTCCACATCAAAGCCCTTCTCTTGAAGCTCTGCGATGACCTCATTCCTCATCCTCAACCACAGCTTGTGAGCTTCTTGCTCAAACTTCTTGTTCTGCAACTCCTTCTGGTAATTGAACGCGTCCTTATCAGTCTCAACGAAGCCTTTTGGGCCAATGGTGGTCCCAATCATCCCTCCCTTGGCAACAAACTCTTTCATGGCTTCTTCATCGCCGGGGTAGGGGAACTCCCGCCGTTCGTACAGGTGGGCTAGCTCCCGCTCCTCCTTTGGCCGTGGCTTCAGTGTCCACCAACCCAACGGTGACGTTTCATTGTACACCCACACTGCACCTACTATGGCGTACGTGCACAGCAGTGCCTTCCCCACCTGTTTCCAGAAGTACCGATCATCTTTCCCTACTCCTATTTTCTTCAAAAACTTCTCCAGCTGAAATCCTGTGTGTTACAAAATGTATCAAAACGTTGGCCCCATAAAGTTTTGTTTGTACTAGACATTTCATCAAACATCTGGTAAGCATTTCAGATCTAGGAGAATACGAATGTTTTAATCCAGAGTTTCTGAAGCTAGTTTTAATTTATGTTATTTCTAGGTATTCCTTGAATTCAACAGCTGAAATCCAGTATTGGAAGAAAAATGAATCAAATAATCTAATTCGAAGAACGAAAGCTCTGAAATTCTCCAGCCTGAAATTTTACGCTCTGTATAATAAAAAGGCGGAAAAGATACGAGCGGTTCAATTCAGAGTTTCTAAAGCTGAAGCTTTAATTGTCTGCATATATATGTAAAGGTACCTTTCTCGGCCTCCTGCAAGCGCTTACGAGCCATGGGCGAAGCTGCGACTCGATGATAATCCTACACTCTCCTTAGTTTCGGCCTATGGGGAAGGGAGCGAAGAGAAAGTGGGCTTTATGTAGCTTGTGCAAAGATAGGCCCAACTAGTTTGGTAATAAGAGGCCCAATGTTAAGATTAAAAATTGACAAAAACAAAATTTACATGAATATTGTTTTGATAATTTAATAATTTTATTTCACACTTTTAATGTATCCACGGGATAATTCACTTAACTAGTAATATAAGCATAACAAACGTTTTATACAAGCGTATACTTGATTTCCACAACGTAACATAGTAGTTGTTTGATATTCCATTTAGTTGGCTTAAATATATGATGGTTAAAAAAAAAATATAGTTTGTATATTTAAAAGTTAGTTAGGAGTAAAAAAAATATGTTTGGGTAAGAGTAGTCGCTAAATAAGCTTTTCTTTCTCAAATACAATTGGGTCAAAAGGTAGATTGTAAAGCCCTTACATTACTTACTTTCAAATCTATACATTAGCACCATTTAATGCATTTTAAATTTATCAAATAATCTATTCTCTCTGCTTAAAAAATGTAAGATATTTTTTAAGAAATTGAATGTTAAAAAATGTAAGGCACTTTTAATCTTTTGAGGTGTAATCATTGCCTTTTTTTAAAAAATACCCCTATTAATAATGACTTTATATTTATTGTAGGATGTTTAATATGGATAAATATAAAAAGATAAAATTAATTTAAAAGTAAGTAACTATTTTATTGGGGGGTGAGATTCGGTTAAAAATACCTTATATTTTTTAATGGAGGGAGTATTTATCCTTTCACATTTCCTTTTAAAATTTGATATTTTTATTATTTATAAATCTAACATTTTTAGTATCTGTAATTTAAAAATATTTTCTATATTAATACATTAATTATTTTATTTTTATAATTATAATTTTAATATTTTTTCTTAAATTTATCAAATTGCATACTAATATAAATGTGTGTGTGAGGGAGGCACGCCACTCATGTACTATTTTTTTTTTCCTACCAGCCCATCTTTTTTTAATTATTATATATTGAAACTTGTTTTTTTAATTATATCATCCAAATAAGTTTTAATTTGTCAAACTCTAGTTTATATAAAATGTAATCCTACGAAGTTAATCCAAACAAGCTCATAGTATTGTAGCGAAGTATATAAGCCACAAGGTGTAAAACAACGATACTGAAAAAAATGAACGAAACTTTCTCCGATGTAGTCTCCTGCCTACAATTCGTTCTATACTAGGTTGAAACTACCCAAGAATTCGATCCTGATTACGAGACTGTGATGATAATAAAAGGGATACATTCATGTGTGTGTGTGTGTGTACAGCAGGATACGACATGGATTTGTAATGTCATATTTGATTTGAGTATTAATCACACTGCCCTCGTACGATACTGCATGAGGCGAACCAGCTGGCTTTCAGCGAAGTGTTCCAAGGGTTCTTTTGTATTTATACAACTTAGCCACCACAAGGAAAGCCAGAAAATTCAGCACACTCAACACAGATAAAAGCCAGAAGAAATAGTGAAGCTTCCCATAATTGAGATTATCAGGCAACCACCCTGGGCTTCCATTTTTGGTAGTAATTTTGGTAACAATGGTGACAAGCAGCGAGCTCACGTACTGTCCAAGTGCGACTGTGAGAAGTGAAAGAGCAGAACACACACTTCTCATAGCATCAGGAGCTTGCTCGTAGAAAAACTCTAATTGTCCAATAAACGTGAAAACCTCGGCACACCCAATAATGAAGTACTGAGGGACCTGCCAGAATATGGAAATCGGAATCATCTCTTTCATCTCGTAGTAGTTATGCTTCTGCACGATCCTGAGTCTGACTAGCTCAAGAACGCCGGCGAAGAGAACGGAGAAGATGGAGATGAAGAGGCCAATGCCCATTCGCTGGAGCTGAGTGAGGCCTCGTCTGTTGCCGGTGAGTTTGGAGGCCAACGGCACGATGAGGCGGTCGTAGACGGGGACCCAGAAGAGGACACTGAGAGTGTCGAAGATGGAGAGAGACGCCGGAGGGATTTTAAACGACGAGTTGCCGAATCGTGTGTCCATGGTCTCGCCTTGCAGGACGAAGTAGTTGCTCATTTGGCCGTACACGGTGGCGAAGATGATCCCGGTGGCCCACACAGGAAGGAGACGAATAATGGCCTTTAGCTCTTCCACTTGGGTTACGGTGCAGAGTCTCCAGGGGTTCACCGTGCCTTTCCCGTCGTCGGAGTATTCCACCACCGCTGCTTTATCCAAGAATCTGTGCCATACAAATACAATAAAATATTTAATTATTATTGTTATCTTGTCAAACTTTTTCAGGATTATATACATATACTGGTGGCCACCTTAACCCTGAAGTGCGGTCAAGTTTGCGGCTTCCGAGAACGGCAGACTCTGTCTCAGCCTCAATCTCGTACAGAAGACGTTTATCGTCTGGAACCTCAACCTTATGTTTTCTCATGGACGCCACAATCACCTGAAATATGCGTGTAAGAGGGCTCCCACCAGGCTTCTGGTGCCGATATAACCTTGTGCCGGAAAAGAAGAAAACCACAGCAATGGCCATTGCCGCCGCGGGAATGCCGAACCCCAATCCCCACCCGACGTTGTCCTGAATCCACACCAGAACAGAAGCGGCGATGAGAGCACCGATGTTGATGGAGAAGTAGAACCAGTTAAAGAAGGAACCCTTCTTCTCCTTCTCGGCGTCGTCTGCATCATCAAACTGGTCGGCGCCGAAGGACGAAACGCAGGGCTTGATGCCGCCGGTGCCGAGAGCAATGAGGTAGAGGGCAAGAAACGCCACCGCGTTCTGCGTCATGGTGGCTCGGCAGTTCTTCAACTCTTCATTGCAGGTGGGTTTTATGCCAGGGATTGATGCAGATAGTGTCAAAAGAGTCATTCCCTGTAAGTCAAGATTCATCATCCACATATTAAGTTGAAGTTTTTGTGTTTGTGTATGTCAAAGAAAATCTCACTCAAATTTGAAGAAGCCTTAATTGTATGCATATATATTAAGATGAGAACTTGAACAAGAGAACAGGCCAAGAGGAGGAATGGACTTGTATCACAGTATTGGACACTAAACATATTTTCTAGACTCCATAATTATCTATTTATGAATTTTGATTAGCCGGATTTATTTCTTCCTTAACCACTTTTAATTGCTTTAAACCACCATTAAACTGTCATCTTTAATTGGCTTTATGGCTGCCCAGTAGTAATCTACTTATAAAAGCTTGTGTGGCATATTGCATGCTAGAGTTCCCCGAGAGCTTCTAGCTCTTATCCTCTTCCTCTCCTAAGTTCTTTTAATTATTTAGTGTCAGGCGGAATAACTCTTAAAAATGGTGTCCTCGGGCTGGACTTGAACCAGCTTTTAGATCTACTGGGTTTTCCAACACATTATACTAAAACTTTTACAGCTAGGAAGGTCTTAAAATGAGTTTCATCTAATGGAGTGTTTGGGTACCAGTTTGCAAAACCCAATTTGTTTCCGCAAAACCTAGTTTGAAGTTAATGTTCCATTTTGTAAAAGATCAAGTTTTGAAGAGCCAAGCATGGACCAAAGAAGAAGAGTATACTCACAATGACATAGATGATGGAGAAGGAGGCAATAGTCCAATATCTGCCAAGATAGGCATCAGCAAGAAAAGCTCCAATCAAGGGAGTGAGGTAGCAAGTTCCACTCCAATCTGCCACGTTCTTGGACGCTGTAGCCCCCTTCTGCCCTAATCTGTGCTTGAAATACAGCACCAGATTTGTCCCCATTCCGTAATATGCCAATCTCTCACAACATTCGTTCCCTAATCATTAGACATGCATGAGACTATGAAGTAAGAGAAGACTTATCAATCATGCATGGTCTTACCTAAAATGAAGGGGCAGGCCCTCCAGGTTCCAGTTTGATTCTTGTTAGCTGGATTTCCATGAAAATCTACCGTTCCATCTTTGGTGTAATCTGATCCGTCCTCCCTTTCTTTTTCTTTCATCAGAAGATCATTCTCTGCCATTGCACTTCAGAATCTGCAGCTTCAGAAGATCATTCTCAGTTCATCGGGTGTACGTGTTCACTTGCAACCATTAAAGTAACGCTGAAATATATTAAAACGCGAAAAAAAAAAAGGCAATCAAAGTAGAAGTCACGAGGAGTGATGGAGAATTATTAGTGTTCTATATATAATGAAGTTTCTTTATGGGGTAAAAAGAATGAGGAAGAATTTATGTTTTTCTTCAACTCAGAAACCGATGTTATTATCAATAACTTTGCCACTTTTCATTTTTCTCTCTCAACATTTTCTTCTAGTTCTGTTTTTAATTTCTTTGATGAGATTCCTTTCTGTGAAACTTCGAATGCATAGTTCTTACTTCAGCATATGCGCCAACAATGTATCACTCTCTCGTGGGAAACTTATTTTACTTGAACTGCATGGACAAAACACATAATCTCAAAGAAATTAATTAAGATCCACTCCATAAATAAATGTACTGGAAATCGCTGTTGGACTCCTCTGAAGAATTAACTATATGTTCTGATGTATTGGGTAGAAGATTAATGAAACTAGAAATAAAGAAATATAGAACATTCCAGTTGTCATATTTTAGTTATCAGGATCAATTCACTTATGGACGTCATATACTGATATATTTGAGGAAGAAAATCAACGATGTGCTGTCGGCTTGTAAAAAGAATTTATTGAGAACCGGTATATATAAATTTGTGTCCTAAATATTTTTTCATTATAATTCCTAGTCACAAATATTTGATCATTTCAAGCCAAAAGAAAAAAGAAAAAAAATGGATAAAGAGATCAGTAAAGTAAACAACTGAAAAGAGACAATTCAGATGCAGAATCTTGTTAACATAGATAAAAATCAACAGAGAGATATATTATATATAGTCACGCACAGAATATCGATTACTCAGATGAAGTTATATACATAAATAGCAGTAATTATAACAGTTGCTTTAAGTGAAATATAAGTTCTGTTGACTTAGAAAAGGTAATTAAAAAGCAAGCAAATATTGGAATCGAGAGTAGAAAGATAA